GAGAAGTGGGGTAGAACAGCGGGAGCTGTGCGGATGGGTGAGGTGCATGTGTGCCTGCTTAGACGGGCCAGAAAAGCCAAACTTAAGAAATCTGCCTATGTACAGAACAAATCAACTGAAGGGGTTCTCATTAATCCGCCGTCTGTGACTTTCGTTATTTTTCAGGTTAGTTCTGAGTTTTCTTGCCTTTTAAAGGGAGAGGAAAACAAACTACATACTATTTTACTATGAGCTTTTAAAAAAGGGAAGGGATAAAAAAATAAGTTTTTAGTGCTGTGTCATTTCCCTAATGAAGAGTTGCATAATTTGGCTTGAATGTACATGGGGAGGGGACGCTTTGATTTTTTTTTTTTTTAAACTGGAACTACATTAAAACTGTTGGTGCTGAGAATAAAAGTTTTTTGGAGTTCAACAGTTGAATCTTTCTTGGCCCTTAAAATATTTCAGCCAGTGTCACTCAGATTTGGACTATTTTTAAACTTGACCTTTGACAGGGCTTTATACAATCTGGTGGGGATGCTATGATAATTACTTAAAAAAGAGAGTATGACTTTGAAGTCTGAAAACTTAGGGGAAAAAAATAAGGTATTTTAAAGCTACCAGTGGTCTGTACAGGTGTAAAGTTAAGAGGAGCAGAGTTTGGGGAGAACAGAACCAACTTCAATTTAAAAAAAAGAAAAAAAAAAAAACCGCACCCTGTGAAGGCCTCTAAAATAAGCCTAAGAAGACAGGGCAGATATGGTGAAGAAACTCCATGGTTCCGACCAAGTTAGTTGGGAAAACATGTTTCTTGTGCTCTTGGATGTTTTTCATGTGAACTTTAATTTGTAAGGAATTCAAGTAATTGCAAAAAGTCTGTCAGTGGGGGTGGGATGGGGTTCAGTATTGGTTAATAGGAAACAAGTTCACAGTTTGGTACTTGGACCACTGGAGGAAGGGAGTAGCCTGCCCCGGCCCCAGCTCGTGTGGCAGAACTGCCCTGCTGAGAGGCGACTTTGGAGAGTTCATTAATGCAAGTCAGAGACCCGGCCACTGGCCACTGCTGCCACCCCCAAGACATTTCTTAAAGAGGAGGATGGTGTGTTTTTCCAGCGTGCTCTAGTAGCAGTTTGATTCTCTTGCCTTATTTTAATTTCCATAATTGGTAGCTTCCGAAATGGCTTTGGAAGACAGTTTGCTGTTAAATGCGGCCACCTATTCCAAAACGCCCCGGTTATTTTAGGAATCCGATCCTCTTCCTCCAGAGCTCTTTCGCAGGACTTCTTTTGGACGGGTCCAGGAGGTAGGGTCTTCTCCATTCCACTCCTGCAGAGGTCACTTTCTGTGCGCGGGGTCGTCCCCAGCGTTTGTGAGTAGCATATGCATGTGGCTGTGCTGACTGCACTCGCAGGCTTGTAAATTTTCACCCTGGGAAATTAGCAACAAAGCCCGATCTGTCTCGTGGCTGCTTTGCACTTTCCGAGGGCGGCTGTACTTGACTGAGCTGCAGAACAGGCACGAGAGAGAGAGAGAGAGAGAGAGAGAGAGAGAGAGAGAGAGAGGAGAGCGAGCGAGAGAGGGAGGGAGAGAAGGAAAGGAGAGAAGAGGGGAGGGGTGGGGGCGAGAGGTAAATAGTCTTAAATCGGAAGGGAGCTGCTTCTCTGTGGTCTTGACAAGCGCTGCCTGGGCTCCGCCGGCTCAGTAATAACTGAGTGACCTTTTCTTTGGCTGTATTATGTCTGGCTGGGAAGGGATTGCATTTTGCAGCTGAGAGCCGCGGCTTCCTTCAGCTCGGCTCCTCGCGTGCTGCTGGGGTAAGTTGTCTTGAGCCAGGACGGAGAGAGACAGCCTCGGACTGCAGTTGCCTAAAAGGAGGACACCTGTGGCTCAGATGCGGTCAACACCATTACTTGGCGGATCCTTGAGGACCTCATTATTTTAAACTTAAAAAAAAAAAAATAGAGATTCCCTCCCCCTCTTTTTTTTTTTTTCAAACAATGCTTCTTTTTGACCTTTCCCAAGGAGAAGCACTACAAAGCAGCCACTGTGCTTTCTGAACCGCCTCCCCCTGTATCGCTTAATTGAGAAGGTAAGTGCGGCAACTGTGTACACACGCGTCGGCTTATTTGTGGTGTGTGTGTCTGCGGGTGCGCGCGTGCGTGTGCGGATGTGGGTATTTTTTTTTTTTTTCCTCCCCTTCCTTCCCCAGCCTCTCCTAATGAGGCATAAACTGGAGCTGCAGCCCGGCTCCGCACTGCAACTTTCACTCGGGCTGCAGCTCTGCTGAGACGGTTTTGTTTAAATCATGTGAGGCTTCATTATTTTTATGATGAGACATGAAATAGATGCAGGCTGGAGATGGGGATGGAAGGAGGGAGAGCGGCTGCGGCGCGGAATGCCTCAAGTACGACTCGAGTGGATAATAGTCAAAGTTCAGGATGAGCCGCAGCCTTCCCACACCCCTGACTCCCGGGGAGAGAGGGGCAGGGAGAGTTGGGAATCAGGAGAGGTTCGCTCCGGCCTGGCCCGCAGCGAGGGAATTCAGCGCTCGGTGGGTGCCGGACCCACTCTGTGTACTTGCTGGAATTCACAGCCCCCCTCCCCCAAGAGTTGGAATTGCAATCTTTTGGTTCTTGTCGACACTTCTGCCCCTCCTCACTTTTCCGCGATAAGACAATGTTGTTCCTGAGAGATGGAAAAGTGACTATTTGCAGGGGGAGGGGGGATGAGGGATGGGGGGGGCGGAGAAGTGGCCACAAGAGAGAGGTTCCCTGGAACAAGGTGCCTGTGTTCTACTGGGTTGAGATTCAAACTGATGCAGCACGTTTTTACGGGGGGGGGGGGGGGGCTACCCAGATTGCTGTTATGAAACACAAGTCAGATTTATGATCTTTTTCATATTGAACATGATATGCTATGCTAACGCTGCATGTGACAGTTTAATCAAATCCATTTGTTACCGCGAAGCTAAAAGGGGCCGCTGGGATTTTAGGATTACGGGCAGAGTTAGGGAAGCATGTGGCTTTGTCATTCGCCATCATTTTGCACACTGCCACACTGCGAGGGGCTCTGTGTGTGCGCTCTGTCTCGTCTGGCCGCCCTCATCCCTTCCCCCACCCCCTGCGCCGCTCCGACCCGCTCCCAAAGTGGCTTCACAATAGTCGGTCCTCGGCGGTGTAGGCTGCGCACCAGGTCCACACTTGAGCCAGATCCAGGAAGACCCCCTTCCACTTCTGCCTTGGGCTTGGTGCTCAATGCGAAGCTGCTGCGACTCAGGCACGCCTAAGTCAACTCATGCAGAAAAAGGAGAAAAGTTTTGGTAAGGTTACAATCTATCATAGATGCACTTTGCCGGCGCTCGGCACTCTTAGCTGCTCAAAAGCGTTCCTGCTCTTCTGCTGCTTTTGTGTCTTTTTTGAAAAAAAAAAAAAAAAAAAGATCCAAAATATTATTGTTGTAACTGCTTTGAAAGACTGCTGCTTAAACCAATTAATCTTGCTAGGTGCAACAAATACTGCTACATTCTTTGCAAATCATCCCTGTGTGGCTGCAAAGACACAACCACAAAAGGCTAGAGCATAAACTCCGCAAGGGATTCTTTGTTAGAGTGTATGTATGTTTCTTATTTATTATTATTATTATTATTTATTATTATTATTTTTTTTTTGCATGTGAGCTGCATCAAAATTGAACTCAGTCTTGCAAATCTCTTGTTGGCCTTTGCCAAGCACTAGCACTTTGCTGCCATGGTAACTGTAATTAAACTGATAAGAGTGGAAAAATGTCAGTATCTCTGAGCCTTGCAGCTGCATTGGAGAAAAAGGGAATCAAATTGGTTCCCAGCTCCATTGCTCAAAAAGGGGAGGGGGCGGTGGAAGGATGGGGAGGGGGTTGGGAGTTGAAGGGGCAGAACAGAGTTAAGCAGCTCCAGCGCCTGAGATCTGGGGACATCTATTTGCATTGTTGTCCCTTAGGGGGCTGCAGCCTGTAGGGATGCTCTGGGCCAGTGAACAGAGAGAAACAAGCTTTTAGGCCCAATCCAGTTCTCCAATCGGGTCTGGGGGTTGGGGAGAGGATGAAGATGGGCAGGAGGAGAGAAAATCTTTTGTTTGGTACCTCTTGGCAATCGAATGGCCACGTTGGCCAAATTCTTTTAATCTGTGTCACTGCTCCCAGCTGCAGAACCTGCATTCCCGTTTTAGCATCTTCCTGAGGCACCTCATCTCTGCAACCCCCTTTATGTATTCCCTCTTCCTGTTCCTTCTCCCAGATTGTTCTCTCTGAATCTTTCGACAGGCACAAAATGTTTTCCATTCACTATGTGCAGTTCGTCCAAAAATATAAAAGACTGTGTCTAAGTGCTGCAAATCTTTGATTATGATTATTTTTTTTAAACCCCTGTGTGTTGTGGAGTTGTGGTTACTTTGTTGTGTTAACTACTGAAGCTGAGACTGCGCGGATGAATGGCACAGAACAAGGAAACATAATGGAGGCAATCAACCGTTAGGCCGCCTCACAATGCAATCCAGGCAATTAAAAGCTCACCAGAGTTTAAATGAAATGGTTCTACTTATTTCTGCACACCACACTGCACAGGCTATTATTTATGTCTTTTTTTTAATTATGATTTCCCTTAAACTGTCAAATAACTCAGGATGGCAGGGTCTCAGAGGCAATAAGAATTTCCCTCTGAACAATTTACATGCCAATCTAAAACTAGTTATGAGTCCTGATGTGCTATGAGCAACTTGTGAAATGTTTCTCAGCTCCCCACGCATGACTCTACCCAGTGGTGCTCTTCTGGATGGGGAGGGGGTGCTGCTGATGCTTTGTGCCTTTTAGGTACGTGGCAACGTGGCGACTCCTAAATAGTTCTTTTTCTACGACTGTTAACTTGCATCGTATTGAAAGCGATTTCCTCTCCAAGAGAAATGTGATGATGTTCTCTAAAAGAAGGTACCAGGCTGGAGTGCAAAATATCAAACTCCTTCAAGCCCAAGGCCAAACAGAATGTAAGAGTTTCAAATATTAATTGGCCTCTGAGTGCTAAATTAAAATGTCAACACAACAAAAACATTTTGTGAAGACAAGCAGGGTAGTGTTACTTGTGCCAAATGTTGGTATTCCCTGTCTTGGTTGCAAAGGGTTTTGAATAGAGATAGCTGACCTTATACGCTTGATGATGGTAACTCAACTAAAGGAAATGTAGCTGAGCTGCAACTGAAAGGGATTTTTTAGATTTTTCTCAGCTTTGTGCTGTGAAAAAATAAGAGCCTGATAAATTGGCTAATTAGAATAGCCCCTCATATCTCTTGATGTTTTCAATAACGAAACACAGAATGTCACTTAGTAAATCAAAATTTCCCCCTCCCCCCAGGTACATGGTTAAGAGGCACTTGGAGATGTTCTGTACTGTAATTAATGGGATTTATTCCTTGTGGAACCTTGCTGGAAGACGGTAACTAGTTCTGATCAAAGAAACTTCATTTGTTAGAAGTTCTAGAGAGTGAGATTTAGCAAAGCTATCAAGGGTTATGATTAATCTACACTAGACCCTTAGCTCCTTCAAAGAAAAGGAACAGAAAGCAGACTATAGGAATACCACCTGCTCGTCGGTACAAATCCAGCTGCTAGTCTGCAGCTCTGACTACCACGGCTATGCATATCATGCAGAAAGAAGAGCCACCCTGCTCTCTTCCCTGCCATTCCCTATGCCAGTACTCTACCAGAGAAGTTATTTTCTAATGGAAGTTCAACATCATAACGATACGTGCAATCGGTGTATTATTTGTAGCTAGAAAAGTTTTTCACCTCTGATGGTACAGTGCCTGAGTGTCTCTTATCTGTGTGATTAAAAAAAAGAAAAAAAGCCTGTGAACGTAATGGAGGCAAAGCCTTCATCAGAAGGCATCAGAGGAAACGAAAGGAGGTTTAGCTACTTTGGCGTAGGGAAAATAAGATCATAGCTTGGCATTTCTCTTCTTGAAACTGTTTCAAGTGCATCCACATTTGGTGTTTTGTATAGTTTAAAACTTTATGAGTAGGAGAGGAAGCATCCTATAGTAGCGGGATCTCTGAAGAAGACCACCAAGTCTAGTACTTCACTGTCGTTCAGTTTTGAGCAAGTCCTTACACTCTCTTAGGCCTCTGTAGCACAATTTGTAAAATGAGGGAGTTAGGAATCGATGATGTCTACAGTATTTTGTAGTGCTTAGGATGAGTTATTTGATTAATATGAAGTTCCGAATAATTGGTCCAGCTTTTTTTTTTTTTTTTAAGCTGGGTGTTGGACACTTACGAAAGAAGAAACTCAAAAGGGAATAGCCTTTCATTGAAAAAATTCCAGTCAAGTTGTAAAACCTACAGAACCCAGCTAGACTCCTTATTTATGATGGAGCTATGTCTCTAAAATACATAAACGTCCTACGTCTAGTGTACTATGTATATACATGCACATAATATATTTATGTACATATGTTTATGTAATTTATATATATTTAGATGTTACCTTCTGTTGTTTCTTCTTTCCCTTATAAAATAAATAAGTGCATGTTTATGGTAATAAATTAATCCTGTACTTTAGTTTTATATAAAAGCATGTAGTATACGGTGAGGTAATCTGCCGTTGACTGACATTTGTGAGTATAGATTCATTTAAAAAATTTAATGTAAGGAATAATTTGAAATATCAAGAGCACAGAAGGAAGGATTTGGATGCAAACAAGCAATATAGTATTGGTGAGCTTTTGGAATGACTGTACTGTGTGTTTAACTATAAACATCCCCACTGCTAAGTCAGGTTAGTGTAATCCCAGAAGGGTGCACTCTCCTTCCACTGTCAAGCACATATCAAGTGAATTTCTAGCCAGTAAAGAAAAACTCATTTTTGACTCTCATAGACTGTACATGGACTAGTTTGTTAAATTGCTTTCTTTAAAATTGTTAGCCACTTCCTCACATTTTCTTCCCAAAGGAACCACTCTAGATAGAGAATGGGGAACACTACCGAATTATTTGACGCTATTTAGCTTGGTGTATATAACGTCTGCTTACCCTGTACAACATGAATGCATTATTTTCCCCCACTTTGTAGATGTGACTTTATAAATGATTTAATAAGGACTTTATAACGTTTGAGCCTTTTGTTTCCAAAATTTAGTTTGATTCTGGTATGGCCCTACAAAAGAAAGTCTAAGGCTCCTGGACAAAAAAGCAGTATTAAATATGAAACTTGTCTGAGGTCTTTTGACATCTTGTGATTCTTCCTTGTAGTCCCAGCTCCCTTTTTTGTTTTTGTCTTCCTTTAGGTATACAAATGCTCTCAGTCCAGCCAGACACCAAGCCGAAAGGTTGTGCTGGCTGCAACCGAAAGATCAAGGACCGGTATCTTCTAAAGGCACTGGACAAATACTGGCATGAAGACTGCCTGAAGTGTGCCTGCTGTGACTGTCGTTTGGGAGAGGTGGGCTCCACCCTGTACACTAAAGCTAATCTTATCCTTTGTCGCAGAGACTATCTGAGGTAGGAATTATCCTTGCACACCAGTGATGACTGGATTCCTTTTAAAGTACTTTTTGTAAGTGTATTTTTTGGGGTTTCATTTCCTTATTAGCAGCTTATATTCCTGAAAGCTGTTGACCTGTCAGCCTTCAAAGTGTTGCCAGGTGCCTCATATGCAAATTCTTGCTTAAGTAATGGCCAATAAAACATCACATCTAAAGTGTTTCCATTTGGCCAGCCTGGATGCTCAGACTTAGAAATAGGCTATTCCACTGCCCATGTTGAAACCACCAGTTCACAGCAAGGATGTATTTGGTGGAAATCAGCATAGAAGTGTACCATACCGACATAGAAGTACCATACGGACAAGGTAGGCTGAGCTCGACACAGGGGTTATTCAGCTGTCTTCCAGTTTCTGATCTGTCAAAGAAAGTCAGTTTGAAATTAGCTGGTATGTATTTGCATCGTTATGATACACTTTTGAAAACTTTCTCCAAGTGTGAATACATCCCCCCACCCTCAGTGGCATTCCCAGTGAGCATCACAGAGATATCACTGAGCATTTATAGCCTCAGACTTGCCAGTAGCATTATAGAAATGAACACAGCAAAGATCTCCATCATTATGGGAAAATGATAGCCACTCTCGAAACTGTAAACATCTGAACAGTTTGAGGACCGTTCACATGTTCTTGCTTAAAAAGCCATGAGGCTCACTCAACCTGTTTCCCAGCATTTAGCACTCAACGCATGAACTTCTATTTAAGAAAAATTATTTTGCTTTTCAGGGAACTTTGTGACTTGATTCAGCTGCAAATTACATATATTAATAAAGTAGGACCTATCAAATTAGAGAAATGATATATGGCATCATTTGGGTTTTCATATTTGATACAATTAATCATTTTTCTAGTCTGACATTAAGCGATTTATTTTGATTTTTTTTTCCTTTATGACACAAAATTTATCAATCAGCCATAGCTCCTTAACCATATTGGCCATTTGGGGAAGTGTTTTCTAGGGAATTTGGTGCTTCAGTGTATGCAATTCAGTTATTTTTGGTCTTATTATTTTAATCTTTATATACAAAAATATATCATTTGCTTAGTAGTGGTTTAAAAGAGTGAATCCAGTACTGTTTATCAGATTCTGCTCTTTCCCCCTCTTAGGACTGCCTCATTCTGACAGCCTCCAGGCTAATTATGACCACTTGTTACTACTTCTCTGTGTTCCAAGGGCACAAAATACATGCAAGGTGCCAACAATGGGAAGTGACTCTATAGCCAGAATCTCCCTTATTGTGGTGGCACAACTAATCAGAATTAACTTATTCCGTGAATTCTCTTAGAACTTCGGTCTTTGAACTTTTTCTTTGAAATAAAATTTTTTTCCTCTGCTCATTGTGAATTAGAGCCTCATTTCCACATAAAGCGTTTGCATTTGCTTTCAGTGATTTAATAACGCTTCCTAGTTTTGCTTTATCTCCCCTAACCAATAATCATGGCTTTTGGACTCTTTTTTTGACTCTTACATTTGTTTACAACTGCAGTGTCTCAAGTGGGTTTATGTAACAACAATTCCAAAACAAGTTTCTATAGTCTGAGCAAGATTAAGGTGTTCTAATAAGCAATAAAAATAAGAATTAACTGAGATTTAAAGAGAGGAGGTTGAAATAGCTGGATTTTGAAAATTTATAATTTGCCAGTGAAATAACCTGTATTTTGAGTTAAACTGTTTTTGCAGTTGTTAAAATAGTAGCAGACACAGAAAGAAACCTTAGACTTGTTTTGTGTTATTTTTCTTTATGGTAATAAAAATATGATGTTAAACTGCCATTTGATAGTTTCCAGTTAAGTGTTTTGTTGAAAGGGATTTATCAAAATAGCTTCCATATCAGAAATGTTTGTCTTTCTCTAGGATAGATGATTTCTTGTGACTTAATTTCTAATAGGCTCAAACTTTTAATGTTTGTTAACTTGTTAAAAAAAAAAAAACCATACTCTTTCGAATAAAACTCTGGTCCTGATTGCCAATATTTTCATTTCTCAGAGTATAATTTCCTCTTAAATTGGTCATAACCACATTAATGGCCAGTTGTTATGTTAACAGCCTAAGGATTGTTAACATTTCGAACTAAGTTGTTAACAGCAAGCTTATTCCTTATTTAAACTGAAGGTTTGTTGTATATAATGTGACTTCTTTGGCAAGGAGTAATTTGTCAATACTTAAAAATTGTAGAAGTGAAACGGGTGATTGGTATGTGTGTAAAACACTGTGTTATGTGTTACAGATTATGCTGCAGATGTGGTTTGTAGTTTTATGTAAGAAGTGTGTATCTCAATGAAATTGTGTAGATGTTCAGCAGCATATGTCTCTTATTGGATATTTAAAATAGTTAATTCTGTATGTCAGATAGACAAATATAATTAGGAAAACTTTACAAATTAATTTATTTGAATGGTATAGTCATTCAAAAATGTTTATTGGATGCCTATTGTGTGAGAAGTATAATTTTAGGTAATAGATGAATTTGAGAAAAATAAAAATATACCTCAAATTGTTACTAATTGTTTATTAACTACACAAATTCTGTAATATCAGTAAGCAAGTAATATTTTGTGACTGTCTTTTCGAGCTTGAAAATAATTTTTCTCATTTCCCTCAGTTCACATTTCCTTTCTGTATTTTGCACAGTCAATGCTTAACCATTTAAATACTATTCTCAAGTGGTTTTGTTTTGTTTTTGGTATTTGGATAGTATGTAATTTCTCTGAGGCGACCAAACAAGCTGTAAATACTTACAGGTTTGTATTTCTCTGTCTAAATCAGTAGGCATCTAAGTAAGAATATGGAAAATGATAAAGAAAAAATAGTTTTATCTGTACTGGTAAATTATTAATTGTAGGTATTATCTTGGACCAAATAATTTTTTCGTATCTCAAGAAGAGTGAAATATTTTTTGCCAATTGTACTTAGCTTCCTAATTCTCATTCAAAAAAGAAAACAAAAAACACTTCTAATTCTGAACAATGAGTCTTGAAGTTATAACATTTTATTTTGTGTTACTTTGGGTAACGAAAGTGATGACATGTTTTTTCAAGGTCTTTGAATAATGAACACAAGAATTTAAGTCAGAGGATATTTTCTTAGAGTTATAGAAACTATTATTATGGTAAATATGATTTCACTTAGACTTTTTTCCTTCTTTGTGGCACAATTAGCTATATTTAAGAAAAGGAAAAATGATTCTACCGTTTATATACTGAATCTCAGATCTTAACTATTCATTTTCCCTAACGGGGCTGGAATACCATCTTTTATTTTTCTGTAGAATATGCAATGCACATATCTGATGAGAGAGAATTTGCCAGTTTGTAGGATTATTCTCTGCCTTTGGAAATTCATTACATAAAGGAACAGAAGGATTGACTTTTGAAACTTTCTCTATTTTAACATGCTTTCTGATATTATCTATGAAGCTAATCTGCCCATCAATATATATAAGCCAAGACCTTGAAATGTACATGTTAAAAAATGTATCCAATGCATTTGTAACTTTTTTATTTTTATAATTCAACTTATGACAAATTAGACAGGGAAGCATCTTTATACCTTGAACTAGAATGCCCAAAGTAGATTAAAAATTCTTGTGTAAATACAGCAGAGTTTTAGTAATGATGTTTACAGAACTCTAGTCACTACTAATTTATCTGTCATCCTTGTTCCAGTTTGGAAAATGTGAAAAGAGTAGTTAACATATAATCGGAGTTTTAGAATTAAAATTTTGTGACAAGTGTTAAAAAGTCAGAACCAGGAGAAATACCAAACTACTTTACTTTTCAACTTGGAGGCAGTAAAGAATACAGGAATTTACCACTTGAGAGTGGGAAATTTTTCCTTTTTTTTTCTTTTTTTTTTGTTAAACCTATAACTTCTTACATGTATATTTTAAGCATCAAGTCCCTGTAGGCTAGATCTTGTATCTCTGAATGGGGGTCTCACCAGAAAATGTATTCAAAGCCGTTAGCTGTGATGTATAGCATGGAAGCTGCCTATAGCTCTTCCTATACGAGCAGCCAAAAAAAGCCTTATATAAAATCTAATGTAATTTGCTATTTTTATATCTCAGAATGATTTGTTTAAATTAAACTGCTGGGAGAGAATGATGCTTCATGTGCCACCATAGTTGCCAATTAAGAAAAAGGATTTGAAACTGTTATGCTGACTACAAATTTTACATGCTTTAATATAATCATATAATAACTTTCATACCGAAAATTAAAAGTAAATGCTACGTAGAGTATTAATCTGGCTCTAACTTTATTTCACACTAATCAAATCTGGTGCTTCTAAATTTTTATATAAGGTTAAATTTATACTAGTACATAATTACAACCTTAAAAGTAAACACAAAAAATGTATTGTTTATATTATTTTATCTGATAACTCATTGAATAGATACTTTTTGGTGTTGAATAAATACTCTTCTTTCTTCATTGTCTTCTTTTCAATATAGACAGTTGAAATGATTTCCTCAGAAATCATTGCAACTTTATTATTTGAAAAATCACTTAATTGTTATAAATGCTGAAAATGTAAACTTTTATATAGAATTAAACTCTTCCCAAATGAACTTTTTTCCCTACAAGCTTCATTTGAGTTTTCTTAACATTTCATTGTAATAATGATTTTCATCATTTTTAATTTGTTACCTAACTTTAGATTATGAAATATTTTAGCATATGTGTATATATTAGACTCTGCTAAAAAATAGTGTTACATTCCTTGTAAATGATCTTTCCTTATTCATAGCTTTATAAGAAGTTGTAATTTTAAGTCTACTTTTTTGTCTTTCATAGGAAAGCATTATTGAGTTTTAGTTCAAACATTTTAGACTACATACTATTCAAGAACCGGCACAAATCAGGAGCGATAATTTTGTTTGGTCCAATACTTTGAGAGAGTGCCCCTCATTTTAGGAAAGATTGGTGGGCTTTCTAAGCGACAGCCCTTTTGCAGCAA